TGGCCGGAAGTCTCGGCCGCACCTCCCTCGTCGCAGGGCCGGAGCCTCGGCCTCAGAGTGCGTCCCGCGACAGGCCCGGTCGGCGCCGCCGCCAGCGGCCTCGGGTGGGGAAGCTGCGGGCAGCAGGAATCGGCCGCTCCGCGGCTGGCTCGCCCAAGCCCGAGCCGCCCGAACTCCTGGCGGAAGTGGCTGTTCGCAGCTCCGGCCGGCGGCAACCGCGGGCGGAAGCAGCGCGGCTCACACCTCGGAAGAAGTAGCGGTCGTCACCGGAATTCTGTCCCCGCCTCGGTCCGGTAGAAATGCCTCCGGAGAAACAGTCGAGACCCGAAGATAAAGGTTCCTAGACGTTCCGACCTCGCCTTCTCCCTGCACCCCGAGCTCGGCATACACTCCGCCGACGCGCAGCCCCGCGCCGCCGCCCTCCACTCGCGCACTGTCCCTCGCGGGCCGAGAATTGCGGCGACTCCACCTTGCACGGGAGGAGAGGTCAAGTGTGGGATCGCGGGAAGCAATGGAGAATTTACTTCCCACTTGAAGAAGTAGGGAAAGCGTCTCGGAGAAAGCACCCCGTTGAATGATGGTTAAGGCTTATGCTTTGTTTGTTTGTTTTTGTTTTGTTTTTGTTGGTCGTGGGCTTGAACTCTGGGCCTGGGCGCTGTCCCTCAGCTCTTCAGCTCAAGGCCAGCACTCTACCACTTGAGCTACAGCGCCACTTCCGGTTTTCTGGTGGTTTATTGGAGATAGGAGTCTCATGGTCTCTCCTGCCCGGGCTGGCTTTGAACCTCGATCCTCAGATCTCAGCCTCCTGAGTAGCTAGGATTACAGGCGTGAGCCACCAGCGCCCGGCAAGGCTTTGGACGTAGGAAGACCCAGACCAGAGGTGGGGGAAAAAGTTCTCCACCAACTCCATGACCTTCTTTGTATTCCAGTTTTCTTGAAAATAGCCTGCGAGAGCCGGGCGCCGAGGCTCGCGCCTGCCATCCCAGCCACTCAGGAGGCTGAGATCCGAGGATCGCGGTTCAAAGCCAGCCTGGCAGGAAAGTCTGTGAGACTCTTATCTCCAGTAGACCACCAGAAAACCGGAAGTGGCGCTGTGGCTCAAGCGGTAGAGTGTTCGGCTTGAGCTGAAGAGCTGAGGGACAGCGCCCAGGCCCAGAGTTCAAGCCCCACCACCGACCAAAACAAACAGCGCCCAGGCCCAGAGTTCAAGCCCCACCACCGACCAAAACAAACAAAAATAGCCAACGAGAAACCCATGAAGGCTTAGCTCAAGTGAGAGAAAGCTCAAAGGCTGTGAGTTCAAACCCCGGTACCGTTATTTTAAAAATGGCGAAAAATGTTTAATATACTATAAAGCTGTAAACTGTGCAGTAGAGAGAAAATTGTTGATATCTGCTGGATTATTAAAATAAAAAAATTGCCAGTATCTGCTACTGTATTGGAATGAAACAACAGAAAAACTGTTAGAAAAGTCCATATATAGTGAGTTGAAGCTCAAAGCAGAGAAAGCCCTTGAGAGCTGAGGAAAACAAAAATTTAATAGTTAATAATAGAGCATGGGCCAGGCCCTGATAGTTCACGCCTGTAATCCTAGCTATTTAGGAGGCTGAGATCTGAGGATCAGGGTTCAGTGCCAGCCAAGGCAGGAAAGTCCATGAAATTCTTACCTTTAATTAACCTCCAAGAAACAAGTGGAGGTGTGGCTCAAGTGGTAGAGCACTAGCTTTGAGCAAAAAGATTAGGTCCAGGGCTAGGCCATGAATTCAGCCCAGGACCAAGCAATAGTAGCAGTAGTAGTAATAATAAAATAATAATAACAATAATAATAATGATAAAGCATAGCAGGAGCATTGGAATGTACTTCCCTACATAAACAGTAGGTGGCGGTGGCATTCAGCAATGATGGGCTAGGCTTCCTTCCATTGAAATAATGTAATGGAATTAGTCAAGCATTATTGTCCAAACTTTCTGAATATAAACATCTCAGAGAATTCTGGTAACCCAAAAAAGATTATGGAATTTTTTATTGGCCATGGGATTTGAATTCATCCTGTAGGTACTGTCCCTAAGTTCTTTGTGCTCAAGGCAAATGCTCTACCACTTTGAGCCACAGCACCACTTCCAGCTTTGGACTGGTTAACTGGAGATAAGAATCTCTGCACTGGCTGTCTTCGAACTGTGATCTTCAGATCTCTGCCTCCTGAGTAGCTGGATTACTGATGTGAGAGCCATGGCACCCAGCTAGACAATGATAGTTATAACACACTCAAACAATTTGTTCAGGGCCTTGATGTTGTTATCACCATACTATGAAATAAAATGGTGTTGGTGTATAGTCACCCAGATGTTGCTCTGTCAGGCCTACTTGGTCATCAGGACTGTCGGAAACAACAGACTTGACAGTAACATCGTTATCAAGACGTAGCTTACTGGAGAAGACTAACACATTTGAAAGAGCTAGTGAAAAGTGTCAAATTTTGAAGTACAAATTTACTTTCCTGATTTAGTGATTCCTTGCTAGGCCTTCAGCAGTTCATAGCAGTTGGAAGGCAATTTGAAGAAAGCTGGTTGATAATTTTCTAAAGTAAATGTAAGATGGAAAGGGCACTGTTTGGATGAGCCATTAATGAACAGCTGTCCAGAGCTGTGTTGTGTATTGGTGTGGGCAGTATACTGATAATATCACATCACTTCTTTTTTTTATTGTGAAAATACTTTACAGAGGGGTTACAATTACATGGGCAAGATAATGAGTACATTTCTTATCAAGCATTGTAGCGTCTTCCTTTGTTTCCCCTTCCCATCCCTTCCCATCCTCCCCCCCCCATCCTCCTCCCCTCCCACCAAAGTTGTAAAGTTCGCTTTCCACATGACTTGTACATCTCCTTGTTGCAATGGGTCCACCTGTATCCCTATTTGAACGATTTGTTTTTTCCCTTCCTCTCCACAAATTATACCAACCTCAAATACAGTGAAAGCAGGGGTTATACCGTGGGGGAGGGACATACAAAGCAACAAAGAAATAATCTTATGAATGTGGTAGACACATCACTTCTTTCTTGTGTCATTTTTCCCTGTTGCCTCCCAAGCAAACAAATCACCAAATTGTACTACCTCATTTCAAACCACCACTAGTTTAACATTTCCTTAACAAGAGATTTTTTTAAAAAATTGGTTTTCGTTGTTCTGGCAGGGCTTCCCTTCAACCTTTTATTTCTTCCTCCTCCTCCTCCTCCTCCCTTTCATCACCTTTCTCCCCCCCTCCTCCCACCTTCTCTCCTTAACCCAGGGCTCTTGTGACAAATGTTTAATCAGTTGCCAGTAATCTCAGATCTCATCTCTCTGGCTCCCTCCTTCTCTGGCAGTTCCCCACAATGTTCATGCTCCTTATATAATAACTTGTACTTTGCTCGTGACATTTTTGCACCAGCTAGAACCTTACTACTTAGTGGAAATCTGGACAAAGACCTGTATCTTTGGCATCTCTGGGAACTTTGTTAGCAGTTCCATAGTTAACAAGTCAGAATATGCAATCTAACAAGATCCCAAGATGATCTGTATGTTCATGTGCATTAAAGCAATGCTTTTAAACATTTCCGGTATTCTTCCTTCCTGGCACATATTCATCTCACTCTCAATATCTTGCCCCTTGACCTATTCATTGATATCCCTCAACTCTCAGGTATCACAGACTCTGGGAAGCCCTCCCTAGTTTCTCATGTGGCTATGGGTACCACATTATGTAGACTCCACAGCACCATGGCCTAGCAGTAGCTCACATTATTGACTGTCCCTGTGTTCCAGATATCATGCTGAATGTTTTACATATATTGTCACATTCCATCTTCCTATAGTGCTCTGGGGCTGGACTTAAGAGTTTATGAGCCCCACCCCACCCCCCACACACATATTTGTGCCCAAATGCCCTCCAGCACCTCAGAATGTGAATGTATTTGGAGACAAGTTCTTCAAACAGGCAGCTAAGTTAAAAGAGGTCATTAGAGCAGGTCAATGTCCTTATAAAAAAAGAAACTTACAGTGGGAAGACTGTGGAGACAGGGGAAAGGTGGTCATCTATAAGCAGTCTCAGAGGAAGCTAACTGCCGCTGTCTGATCTTGGACTTCTGGCTTCTAAAACTATGACAAAGTAAATCTCTGTTGTTTAAACCACCCAGTTTGACATGTTTTACTATATAGTAGCCCTAGCAAACTATAGTAATTGGTTATTACTCTCCTTTTGCCAGGGAAGAAACGGGTGTGCAGAACTTACTCATTTTCAAGGTTGTATAGCCACAAGTGGCCCAGACCCTGCCCCAGGCTGTCAGGTGCAGACTTGAGGGTCTTTGCCTCTATGTTCCATTGCCATCGGGTGAGACCTCCCACTGTGCTCCTCTCTCACCTATTTTACCACTTAATAAACTGCACTGAGGACATTCTGTGTCCACAAATGTCCACCAGGCAGAAATCTCCTAATGGTGGTGTGTATGCAGCTCTGAACGTAGGGCCTCTACCTAGAGCCACTCAAAATACATTCATTTCTGGGTGCTGGTAGCTAACACCTGTAATCCTAGCTACTCAGAAGGCTGAGATCTGAGAATCAGGATTCAAAGCCATCCTGGGCAGGAAAGTCTGTGAGACTCTTCTCTCCAATTAACCACCAGAAAATCAGAAGTGGAGTGAAAAAGCTTAGGGACAGCACCCAGGCCCTAAGTTCAAGCCCCATGACCAACAAAAAATAATTAAAATAAATTTTGAGATGTATATTGGAGATAGG